TGGACTCACAGACCTTCATTTTCTCATAGTTCTTTAAATATTTCATGTATGTAGTGTACACTCTTTTGTATGCATATGTCACAATAAAACATGTTGAGTGCAAAAAAGAGTGGAAAAAGAGAGTAGGTGGTTAAGTTGCAGAAATCATGTATATCATTAACAGGACCAATGTGAACAAAACCAACTGTTGCAGTATACAAATGATTATTGTGAATTAGGATAAAATCTCTGGGATCTTCACGATACATGGATTCAAAAGGTACTGTAGTGACAGTGGTGTACTCTGTAAAACTGTTAGACAAGTCAAAAAGTGGCCCTGGGGATGACAGAGACAATGATATGGAAGATGCATGAAACTCTTTAAAATTATTTTTTTTCATTAAATCACAGTGAAAAAAGTACTTTTAAATTAACATGATTTTAACTATATATGTGTGATTGATTAATCTGTACATTAAACAAAGAAGTGTATACGTATTTATTTTACATTTATAAAACTTTCGATTTGGCCAAAAAATTTTCCTTTCAATCATCGTATTGGGATTATGGGGTTACATCTGGCACATACAGTGATATATGCATCAGATCAGAAAGGGTTTTACCTGGAATGAATTTTTGCCATTTCTGATCCACATTGTACTTCACACAGTGATTTCCTGAAGGAAATATAACAATATGCTCATCGAAGAAGAAGACATTGTTGGACACGTGGGATCGAAGTCCAAAAACATGCAGCGACTGAGCTACCACGGTGGACATGATTCCGGTAGAGTTCTGCTAAAGATGCAGCGCAGCTGGTGAGCTTGGAGAAGCGCAACACCCCGCCCCACCCCCGCCCCCACCCCCGCAAACTCCTCGCGCACCCCGGACCCGACTCCGGCTTCTCCGCTTTCCTTTGGCCCTCGCGGCTTGCTGCTCCTCTAGACAACCCCCAGGCACCCCTCCCACCTGTCGCTTCTTCTCTCTGGATCACCAGACCACGCGTGTATCCAAGGTACTACCGCTACGGATCCCAAGCGACCCAGCACTTCCTAACGCCGGAGCGGTTCCTATAGCAACGGCAAACCGGAAGTGTGTCTGCAGCCGGAAGCGGAAGTCCCGACCAGAAAGTTCAGCGGCAGCTGGGAGGAGTTGGCTCCCGTTCAGGTTCGAGTCCACGTGGGGCCGCGGCTGGAGGGCAGGGGGCTAAAAGCCCGCCGAGGTGACGGGGAGAGGCGACTTTTTCCAGTCGCGGGGACCTCGGGCTAATCCACTTTCTCCGGCGGGTGTGGACTTGCGCTCTGCGAGATGGACACTCCCCCTCTGTCAGGTTCGGACTCGGATTCTGATGATTCTCTTGTCACGGACAAAGAGGTAAGTGTCAGCGGATCTCGCGGGGCTGCGCGCGGGGGAGATGTCCTCATTCCCTGGTGCTGACCGCCTATCGTGCCCTATAGTTGCAGGAGGCGTTTTCCCGAGGGCTTCTGAAGCCAGGCCTCAACGTGGTGCTAGAGGGGTCGAAGAAGGCCGTGAACGATGTGGTAAGCGCCAGGTCAGAGGGTGCTGGACTTGGGATGCGCACGAGGCACTGTTGTGCTGGGGAGGCTGCGTTCTACTCCCAGGAAAAGTGCAACCGGCGCATTTCCAAGAGAGTCAATTATCTGTCAGAGTCTTGGGGGTTAGCGCTTGGTCCTTTGGCCTATTCCCTTCTTAAGAGCTTAATGTCTGAATTTCCTAGAATGGTCTGAAGCAGTGTCTGGCTGAATTCAAGCGGGATCTGGAATGGGTTGAAAGGCTTGATGTGACCCTGGGTCCGGTACCAGAAATCAGTGGACCTCAATCAACACCTCAGAACAAGGATCAGAACAAGGATCAGAAAGGTGTTGATCCAGAAGATGATTTCCAGCGGGAGATGAGCTTGTATGTATGTTTTCAAGTGTGAGAGAAGTTGTGGGTCCCTGTGCTGAGAGTGGGGGGTGGGGTGGGGTCGGGGTGGGGGTGGAACAGTGAAGCAGTGAGCCTGTACTCCTCAGAGATGCTGGTAAGTCTGGAAGTGGGGAGTTGACTAAGGAGCTAGGAGATTTTCCCCGGTTGAGAGAAGAGCTCCTTGGTCTAGCAGTCACAATTTAAAGTTGTTTATTTTCAAATACTCAGTTTTAGAGTCTTTTTGTGCAATTGATCATTAGAACAAAAATTTGCTTATAGAAGGTGTTTATATGGACTTTTTAAATTGAGTACATAAGAACTTGTTTTTTGGCATTAGTTTGTAAGCTAATGGGTACTTCTAAAGTGGTCATTCTCTTAAACTACTAATTTATTTTTAGCAGTACTCCCCACCCCTTTTAAAAAAAGTGTACATCTAAATTTCTAATAAGTTAATGAGGTATTATTACCGTTTTTGCTTGTGTGTTTGTTCTTGCTGGTGGGGGTCAGATCCTGACCTCGGGTGACTCATGAGAGGCCATTAGGAGGGTTAACGGCCTCTTTCCCTTAGCTAATTTCACACTTTGTCGCACATCCCCAGCTACCGTCAGGCCCAAGCAGCTGTGCTTGCAGTGTTGCCTCGCCTCCATCAGCTCAAAGTCCCCACCAAGCGGCCCACGGATTATTTTGCAGAGATGGCCAAGTCTGATCAGCAGATGCAGAAGGTGAGAAACAGAAAAGGTTTTCTCTGGAAAGCTGAGGCTTGATACTTAAGTGTATTCAGCTGGCTTATCTCCTTTAGTGTTTAAAAAAACATAGGCACAAGCCAATGACCAAACCAGTTGTCAGAGGACAATTATTATCTCGATTATCTACTTCAGAGTCATGCCAGTCACCACCAATTGAATAAATACAAGGATGACTTTTTCCTAATTTAAACAAAGAGAAGAAAGTGCTGTGAGAAGTGTGGTCCCTGAGGTAAAGGGGGCCTTTTGCATCTCCCAGCTGGCATGGTCATGGCACGGTGTGTGGAAGACAACAGTTCTTTTCTGCCGTTGCTGGGGGGTGGGGAGGGGCAGTGCTGGAACTTATAGACAATTACTTTTCTCTGAGCCTCAGTTTTTCTCTTGCTTGAAATAGGGGATTAAAATATGGCTCAGGTTTGGTATATCATTTAGGGTTAGGTAGAACTTGGTCCTCATTTGACTTTGGGAGGAAGAGAATTACTAGTATCTACTCCAAGATATACTTAAATAGTTCCCTTGGGTCTCAAGCTGGATTTTGGGGAGATTTTATCTCAGTGGTACCCAGGGAAGCTAATTTAGAGATGAGCCCAGACCCATCTCTGCAGATTCAAACTGACAACTGCTTGTCCTTTAACTGACTTGTGTGTATTTAATGCAAACTGCTAGGTGCCTGATGTCTGTTTGAGTTTTTACTGTGTATATGTATATTGGAGAAGGGGGCTGAGGCTGCGTGCTGGTTTAACCATAGCCTGCAGGCAGTGGGGATGGGGAGAAGTTAGTCTTCTCTCCTGGCACAGCAGCAAGCAGGCGGTTTTGTTTCCTGGAACAAACAGCACGCTGGGACGGGGAAGGTCTCCTTGAAGTTCCGGCTCCGTGGCTGATACTGCTGTTGTGTGAGACAAAGCGGTCAGCCTTTGGGTCTTATTGTCCTTGTGTGTAAAACACAGGGCTTGAAATAGACGATTTACAAGGTTCCTTCAAGTTCCACAGTCTGCAGAGCTGGGAATACCTGTTCTGCTGCGGCAGCCCCTCAGTAGCAGCTAGCCCATTTTCAAACATCATTTTGTATTTTAGATTCGACAGAAGCTGCAGGCTAAACAGGTGGCCATGGAGAAGTCGGAAAAGGCCAAGCAACTGCGAGCACTTAGGAAATACGGAAAGAAGGTGGGAAGGAAAATGGGCAGGGACGGGATGGGGCCATCTTCAGTCAGGTTGAGCTGGTCCTGTGTCCTGTGTGTGTTCCATCACGTGTTTGCTACCTCACGGTGGGGTGTGTGCTAGTGTCCACAAGCACCATCCTTCCTGGATATGTGTCACCAGGGGTAGTATGGTCACTGCAGGTGAGTCATGCAGTGGGCTGCAGTTTGTACACCTGTACAGTGAAGAGTTGGGTCCAGATCAGTGGTTTCCAAATGTGACCCCACAGCACAATCACCTGGGGGAGTTTTTCAAAACAGGTTTCTAGGCTTGAGAATCTCTGGGAATCTGAATGTTTTCTCCCCTTCCCCCCTAAAGCTTCTCAGATATTTCCAATACTCACTCAGGTTTGAGAACCACTGGCCTAGGTGATTGTGAAGTCCTTAAAGGAATCAACTGTATTATTGATTGTCATCCAGTCAGAGGGAAAAATGGCACCAGTATGTTTGTGCCTGTCTAAGTTCTAATGTAAAACCCTACCATGGAACTTTTCTTGATTTTCTTATTTATTTCACGGTCATCTAGAAAGGAAGATGACAGGAATTAAACTGAGGGCTGTGGGAGGAAATGAGTGTGAGGATCAGCACGGGCATTAAGACTTGGGTAGCATTTTGGACGTGTTCACTTGTGATCTGGGTGCTGACTGCTGCCCACACTTAGAGTCATGTCACTGATGGATCCTTAGCAGAACATGAGCAGATTGGTGTCCTGGGCTCTGCAGAAGGGCAGCTGTGGAGCTGCTGGATGGATATGGCTTTTTTCCCTACCCACCCTGGATTGGATTGAACCCAGGACCTCCTGCAAGCTGAACACATGCTCTACCACTGAGCTCTACCCCCCACCCCTGGCTGTGGTTGTTGACGGATGACATCAACTCAGAGACTTGGGCAGTTGGTTTAACATAAATTATCAAAAGCAAAGAAAAGCTTAGGCCTATTGGCTCCCTATTTCTAATTTGAGGAAACTGCAGGGCTGTGTTTCTCAGTAGGGGATAATTCTGCTTACCAGGGAACATTTGGCAATGTCGAGACGGTTTTTGTGGGGAGTGTGCTATTAGCCGCTGGTGGATAGAAGGCAGGGAGCCATCCTATAATGCACAGGACAGGCTGTCCTCTTCCAACAAAGAGTGACCCTGTCCAAACTGTCCTTGTGTTGAGATTGAGAAACCCTGCCTTAGAGTTTAAGATCTCCCTTTGTCCTTAAAGCTTTTTTTCGAGTATTTTTTTTTTCTGTTAGTACTTTCATTACCTAGCACTAGTAGGTTAAATATTTAATCTGCCCAGTTAGTGGGAGAATTGGGTGTAGACATAAACATGATCTGTGCAGTTTAGTAGGCAGGTTGTGTCATGGGATAAGAGTGCAGACTGCCTGCATGTGAATCTCAGCTCCACACTTTCTCGCTGTGTGACTCAGGTCAGTTGCATAACTTCTCTGTGCTTCAGTTTCAGGGTCATAAGAATTTCTACCTCACTGGGTTGTTGAGGCGATAAACTGAGAATACTCTTAGTGCCATAGTTTAGTTGTGGCACGTAGTCAGTGTTCAGAGGTGGTGGCATTGTCACCGTGAGATTACTGAGAGAATGAAGACACTTGCAGTGCTGGTTTGGAATGGGTGTAACGGTCCTGTGTCCATGTCCAGGTGCAAACGGAGGTTCTTCAGAAGAGGCAGCGGGAGAAAGCAAACATGATGAGTGCCATTAAGAAATATCAGAAAGGTCAGTATATTCTCTCCCAAGGATGCAGGGGAGTGAGGATGCTTGTTAATTCTAACAAACATATGGGGCTGTGAGGCTTGATTGATTGGGAACTGTTGGACCTAAGGTTTGGGAATGGTATGGGAAGCAGGATGTGCCTCTTAATACCGATTCTGTAAGTAACACCCTCTTGGAATTTAATCTTTTTAAAATATGATGGTGCTGATCAAAGTACTTCTTCATTCCCAGGCTTCTCTGATAAACTGGACTTCCTTGACGGGGATCAGAAACCTGTCGCACGGAGCACGAAGGAGGGAGCCAAAGGCCAGCAGATGAGGAAGGGGTACAAGTGTTTGGTTCTGTTTTGTTGGTGGTGTGCACAGGCTCCCAGTTCACGATGTGGCAGGGACGTGCACAGGAGCGGCCTCAGAGTGGTGAGAGGGCGGCGGTGCCTGTGGCCCAGGCTTACGGGCTGTGTGATGGGCCCATTTAGCCACTTCAGTCTTTGAAGATTAAAGTGGGGTGATTTCAGCATTTGGCACATTTGAAGTGAATGCTCAGTAAAAGTTGATGCCTGATGTCACAGTGTGATGGTTAAGAGTGCAGAACTAGTGTTCCCATCTGGACTCTGCCACCCATTAGGAGGGTAGCTTTGAGCAAGTTACTTGACCTTTCTAAATGTTAATTTCCCCCTCTAGGAAAATGAGTGAATTGTAAGTGACTCAAAATGTTAGGAAAGTTAAAAAGGATAATGTTGGATATTGTTAATGTTCTTTTTAGTTCACCTTTATGTGTTCCTGGACAGCCGTCCTGGGGAAGTGATCATTTCTGTGCAGTATGGTACACACTGTGACAGAGGCATTGAGGCAGTAGTATGGAAGCACGTTCTAGAAATATGTGACATGGTCTGGGGATGGCTTCCTGGAGGAGGGGCTCCTGGGGCTTAGTCTGAAGGATGGGTAAGAATTACCCAGAACAGGAGACGTGGGTTTCGGGAAGAAGGAAGAATGAGCCAAAGCAGAGAGAGGAGAACGGCAGGCTTGTGTGTGAGGAACAGCCAGCCTGTGGCCCCACGGGGGATGCAGTGTGAGGCAGAGCGTGGTCAGGTGTAGCTGGGGGACCTGGGCTGAGTGCTGGGCAGTGTTTGTTGGCCTTGTGAGGAGCTTGGGCTGTATCCAGTAGGCGGTGGGGAGATGCTGATGGGCCTTACTCAAAACTGTGAGCAGATCATATTCATGTTTTAAAAATTACAGTGGTACTTAGGTAAATGAGGGAGGCAGGGAAATTGATAAGGGGACTGCTAAAGAAGTCCAGAGAACAAGGATAATGACCTGGAAGTGGTAATGGGGTTAGAGAAGGGAGAATGATAGAAGGAATATTCAAGAGGTTAAATGAACAGGACTCAGTAATTGAGCTGGGTGTAGAGAGTAGGAGAAGGAGAGAGAATCAAGGTTGACTCCAGGTCCCTGGCCTGGGGGGCCAAATAGATGGTGAGACCACCAATCTCAAGTTAGGGCGTAGAGACAGGAGGCGAAACCAGTCTAGGAAGGGAGATGACAAGTGATTTTGGACACGCTGAATTGAGAACCTGTGGGACGACCCGTTCAAAAATGGATTACATCTGAATGTTAACTGCATTTAACACCAGAGAGGAGCAGAGACAACTGAGGATGCTTTAGCAAGATTTAGTTTAAATAGAAAGGTTTTTAAAGATAAACGGTGAGCCACATGATATATCTGGGTCTTTTCCTGACTCTTGCCTTGTTCTCCTGCTTGGGTGGTGGAAACTGTAAGTAGATGAGCTTGCCTGGGGAGTCTGTAGAGGTGCAGTGTAGGGCCAAGGATGGGGTTCTGGGTAACAGCAGCGTTTGCTTACAGATGGGAACCTGAGGCTATTGCTGGGCCGTAAGTAAGGTTCATCAGGGTTTGCAGAGCTGCAGCTAACCTGTAAGACTGCTTTTTTTCAGGCCCAATGCCAAGCGACGCTATAAAAACCAGAAGTTTGGTTTTGGTGGGAAGAAGAAAGGCTCCAAGTGGAACACTCGTGAGAGCCATGATGATGTATCCAGCTTCCGGGCTAAGATAGCTCACGGCAAGGGGCTCAAGAGGCCGGGAAAGAAAGGATCAAATGTAAGTGAGCAGGGGATGGGGAGTGGGGTGTGGGGTTGGGGGGTCCGGTGAGGGGTGGGAGCCACCTCCTACCCACCTACCCCACCCTGCCGCCTTTCTTTCCTTGTATCCTGACCCTGGGCCAGAAGGCTCACTGCTGTGTGAGCACATGTGACCTTTCTTTTTCCATAGAAGAGGCCCGGAAAATGGACAAGAGAGAAAATGAAGAGCAGAGCGCGCTAAACAAACAGCATCTCTGTGTACAGAGGCCGAGGGAGGGGGAGGAGGGCTTGGGATTGCCCAGGACGGCTGGGTTCCTGCTGTTCGTTTCTTTTTGTAAAAATTCTTTCAATAAACTAAAGAACAGTTTTCAGAGAAATACACATTCTTCATTAAAAAATCAGGACTAAAAGATTTAGAAGGTACTTTTACATATTAAATAAGCCTGCTTTTTAATAAATGAGCCACTTGAAAATTAAGTGTGGACTCTGGGGCCAGACTGCTGGGTTTGACACCTGGCTCCGCTGCGTGCTTGCTGTTAGACCTTGAGCAAGTTAATTTTTCTTTGCTTGTCATCTCTGTACAGACATGGTAGTAGGATCTACCAAACAGAGTTCCTTTCAGCACTGAGTTAACATGTGGAATGCTTGGAACATTGCCTGCCGCATGATGAGAGTGTATGCCGGCACAGGGTTATTTTGCTGGGTGGGGTGGCTTTCCTTAATGTGTGCTGAGCCGTGGTGGTACGTATTTGAAGGTCCTAGTGCCGGCTGGGAGCTGTGCGCAGGTTAGACGTGGTGGGCAGGCCACATCACGTGCTGGGCTTTGCTCCGTCTTGAAAGGTGGGAAGGGAAGGCAGCTTACCGGCCCTCCCTCTTTCTCTTCCAGTTTAGAAACCATACTTTAAGGAGACTACAGACATCTGAGAACTGTATATTCTTAAGCAGAAAAAAATAACTCGTTTTCATGTTATTTCCTTGTAGCATCCTTGGTACATAAAAAAAGGATCTGTCTGGTTTCATATGATACTAAGTTTCTGGAACAAAAAGAATGAATCTAGGTTTCATAAACTAATTTCAATGAATGAAATTTTGGGCAAAAAGGTCCTGTTTTCAGAAGACTACAGTATTTTACCTTGACCTATTTCAACAGTCTGAACAATATTAGTGAATGAGGTAATGTAAGGTAATTCCAATAAGGAGCCTCAGATCGGAGACTAAATTATGTGTGGAACATGGTGAGTTTTAAGAAAGGAGTACACAGATGGACAGCAGTTCACACTGGTGGGGACAAAAGTGAATTACTGATTTGAATATTTTTAAAGGTTTTAAAAAATGTGCACTTTTTTTTCTTTTATAGCAAATGGAATAATTTTCCTTAATTTCAGAGATACACAGTACAGAACTCATTTATATCACTTCCTCTAACATCCCGGCCTTAAACTAAAGTATAATCAGGCTACAGGCAGTATTAACCCTCAGATTGCTTTAAAATGCAATTTCGTGCACTGAAAGATAGGTCGGAGCTAGAAGTTCCAGTTACTGAGTCCAAGCCGTTCTTTGCTTCGTCCAGTACGCGTGGGCTTCGGCTGTCAAGGCGCGGTTAAGTAACAGCAATTTCTCAACAACGCTGTTCACCTTTCAGCTACCAAAGTATCATTAACCAAGTAATTGCCGAAAGGAGAAACTTTGCTGCTTGCTCGCCAGTCTATAAACCCCCGCCTTAAAGATGCATAATGATTAGTGACCAAAAGTCACTTCTTTGAAGTATGTGGGTGATCAGTCACTGCACACCTGTTACTCAGTTCACATACAGATGGCCGAGAGTGCAGCCATGTTGCCTCCTCGTCTCCAGTGATAAATCCACGTGGCATTTTCCAGAAGTAGGTCATTGAAAGAGGAAACTGACCAACAGAGATAAAAGTGCAGCAAAGAAATGAAAAGAGATCAGGTTGAGGGTAAAACTGAATGGAATGCAACGGATTTATGGGAGAAAAAGGCGACAAGGGAGTGAAGACACTGCTGCTGTTCTGGAGACTAGACAGATACGCGGCCAGAGAAATAGTGAACGTGAACTTGTCAACGTAATTAGGGAAATGGAAACTATGTGCCAGGGGAAGTGACATTGGCAGAAAACGTCACAGTAAAGGGACTCTTGGAGATATTCTATGACATGGAAAGTATAAATGATAAAATATTGGAAGTGAATCCAAGCTTAAGAGTAAGACAATTTGCCGATGCACAGGAAAGATGCGTGTTCCATAGCATGTGGTATAAGGGGAAAAGGAACGCACTGTTTTTTGTAAAGGAATGAAAGACTTGATTCTTAAATGTTTTAAATTATGGCATAGTAAATAAAAGCTTTACTATTTTTTTCATATTCTTAGGCAATTAACAGTTTTTATTCCTCTTGACAAAAATTTAAAAAATCATTCATCATTGTGAGTAGAATATTTTGAGGAGGGCATCAAAGGTAAGTGAGTTAATGTGCAGAGATGTGAATCTAATTTTATGAACTATTGTAAATTATCAAATAGATTGGGTCCCTGATTCTTTTTCATCCCAAAGTTGCTCTCGAAGTGGGAAGGTAGTCCTGCAGATCTGTCCCTTGAAATAGAGCAACCACATTTCTTCTGCTTTCACCTCCTTCCCAACATCCCCCCAAAGAGAAACCGGTCACTTTGTGCATTCAGTTCATCCAGAGTATGCACCGGTAGTCCTCACTTTGCACAGTAGTGCAGGCCCATACAAATGACCTGCTTGCTGCAATCATGCAAAATAATCTGATAAATTTTGACAAACTACATCATTAAATGTATTGTCAGGGGTTGCCAGGAGCTTCCATGCCCTCTTCAGCCTGCCACCCTCCCAGCACCTTGATGTGTTCACTCACCTGGAAGCTCTCCAAACCCTGCACCCTAGAGGTTTTATGGAGATTTCACTATGTAGGTATGACTTATCAAATCATTAGCCATTGGTGATTAACTCAATCTCGAGCCCTTCTTCCCTGGAAGTTAGGGGGTAGGGCTGAAAGTTGCAAGTTTCTAATCGAGGCTTGGTCTTCCTGGGGAGC